CATCATCACCATCACCATCATCACCATCATCATCATCACCATCATCACCATCATCACCATCACCATCATCACCATCACCATCATCACCATCATCACCATCACTATCACCATCATCACCATCACCATCATCATGATCACCATCACCATCATCATCACCATCACCATCACCATCATCATCGTTCTTTCTCTAAACAGTCTCCTGTTTATGGAGACTGCCTTACCTGGGGCATGACTGGATATCATTCTGCCCCAAGGGTGGTAGCGGAAAGGATCTACTCTTAGCCTCTCTGACACAGTCTCCTGACTTTGTCCACAGAGCTTGGCTCAGGGTTGTTGGCTATCCCTCTGTCTTCACCTGCCAAAACCAAGGGAGCCACACCAGCTTGGAGGTTTCAGATGGCTCTAACTCTTGAGATAATCCCACTGGGTCTGTTCTGTTAAACTGCAACAGAACAAAACCAACCCCCCCCACACAAAACCAAGCAACAGAAGCATAAACAGAGGTTCAAGTTTCTCCTATTAAATGGAGTCTGGAGGCTGGCCACAGCTGGTGTGATTCAGCTGCTCAAAGATGTCAGGAAAATATCTCTCACCTTACAAGAATTCCAGATACTGGCTGTTGCTGGAGCCCAGTTGTTCACAGATGTCAGTGCTCCCACAATGCAGTTGTCTTGGCCTTCTCTCATGGAGGCAAGATGTTCTGTGGTCACAGCTGGAAGACCACGTCTATCAGGAATGCTAACATTTTCCCAGAGGCTCCCCCCCACCACCCACAGACTTCCATTTGTATTTCACTGGCAGAACTGGGTCACTCACCCAGGACAAAGGAGGCTGAGAAAGCTGGAATAGGATTGCCATGATTGGCCCAAGCAAATCATGATCCATTGCCTCAAGAAGGGTACCTCACTGCCTCCAGATAAAGTCTGGGTTCTGTTGGCAAGGAAGAATGTGGGGGGTGAGTACCATGGTTATACAGCAATTCAAGCTATTATGGCTGCATAACAAACTATCCCCAAACTTAGTGGTATTTATTTTGCCCATGAATCTGTAATCTGGCAGGGCTCGGTGGCAACAGCTTGTCTCTGCTCTACTTGGTGACAGGTTAAAACAACATCAACATTTATTTTGCTCATGATTTTGCAATTTTGTTGGAGTTAAGTGAGCTCTGTTCCCCTTGGTGTCTGTTCTCCTTGGTGTCAGCCGGGATGACTCTGGAGCTGCAGACTGGGATGACTCTGGAGCTGACCATCTAATAACTCACTCACTCACATCTGGACCTGAGCTGGAAAGGTCCAAACAGCTGGGGCTCCTTGGGCTTGTCTCTACATCTCTGTGTGGACTCTCCATGTGCTCACTCCAGCGTAGCTGGACTTTCCCACATGTCAGCTCAGGGATCGCAAGGTGTGAGTTGAGAGAAAGTTGGGGGGAGAGAGAGAAAGGGATGGAGGGAGGGGGAGTGGGAGGGAAGGAGGGAGGGGGAGAGAGAGAGAGAGAGAGAATACTAACTGAAGCTGTTTCTCCTTGTTAAACCTAACCTTAGTAGTCACTGCATCATTTCTACCAGATCTTATTCATTAGAAGAGACCCACTGAGGCCAGGTCATCATGTAGGAAAAGGGACTTAGGACTCCTTCTTTTGGTGGGAGGATAAATAATTGGTCAGGTTTTAATGCCACATCTACCTACCAATGACAGAGACCTAAAAATAAAACAGACCGTAAAGCATTGTGTTGGATGGAGAATTAAGAGGACAGCTGACAAATTCTTTGAAATGCTTTTTTTCTCTTCAGATCCTAAAACTTATACATCATGCTGCTTTTAGAAGAATCAGGGTGGGTTTTGCTCAGAAAAGGAAGGCATTCTTCATTTTAGAGGCAGAGCAACCCTGTTGCAATTCCCTCCTTCCTGTGTCCCAACAGCTTTGCCATCTCCTGACTCCCAACCTCCAGTACAAGCAGCTCTTTGCCTGAGGGCTTGTCTCCTGGTTGCTGGAGCCTTCTCTGCTCCCCTTCCCGGTCCCTGTCCCACTTCCACCCCAGCAGCTCTGAGCCATTGGCTGAGAGGAGTAGGTGTATAAATACCCCAGCTCTCTCCCCCTTAGTGAGATGACTTTCTGGTGCATGTTCTACACTGTCTCCCAGAGTTCTGCAGCAAAGCTGAGCCTTAGTTGACCACAGAGATTGCCTGCTCGGTGATGCAAACTGTGTTCATGCCTTCCCTTCCCAGTCATACTTCCCATACCTCTCTTGGTTTTCCTGGGACCACTGACCAGGTAAGCTACTTGGGTTAGAATCCTAATCTCAGAGTCTGCTTCTGGGGAAAACAAACTTAGACAACTAGGTTTAAAACTTGGGAGACAGGACTTGGAGTCTCAGCTCCAACATGGAAAGAGCTTGGAAGTCATCAGTGCCATCCTCACAGCAAGAGAAAAGCTGAACAAAGTGAAGATCCGAGGACTTTTCCTAGACCCTTCAGGGGAGGGAGGTCTCAGGGCACGCTGCCACCCTGAAATCTGGGGAGACAAGTTGAACACAGAATTTCACAGCTAAGATCAGCTTACTGGATGCAGAAACCACTACGGCTAATAATTTGTAGTAACACTTAAGTGATACTTTTGATAAATTGTGGGAGATGAAAACTGGGGAGCCAGTCTTAGGGGCCCATACTTTCATAGATTGTACCTCGGGGAGCCTACCACATTCTCCCAGTTAATATCAGAGGGAAAAAAAAATCCCTTCATGTTTTGGGGTAAGGAGCAGGAGGGAAGTAACCATTCTGACATGCACAGAGAGCATTCTCCATAACAAAGGCCTGCCCTCTAAGGGAGGCTACTTTACCAGAGCCACTTGGGAGCTGAGGTGGACTCCAGCTCCATCTAACCTTCCTGTCTCTGGAAAGGCAAGAAAAAAAAAGTCTAGGAAATGCTTCTGAAGGTCAAAGACCAGGAACTCAGGCCCACTAGAAAACCGAGATTTAATTATATTATTATAGACAGCTTCTCCTCTCCAACACCTGCCTGCCACATCAACAGAGCTCCCGTATAATAACAGTGGAACACAACTGAGACAACTGAAGGACAATAAATATATAAAATAAATAAAAGACAATAAATAGGGCGCCTGGGTGGCTCAGTCGTTAAGCATCTGCCTTCGGCTCAGGTCATGATCTCAGGGTCCTGGGATCGAGTCCCGCATCGGGCTCCCTGCTCTTTGGGAGCCTGCTTCTCCCTCTGCCTCTCTCTCTCTCTGTCTCTAATGAATAAATAAATAAAATCTTTATAAATAAATAAATAAATAAAAGACAATAAATAAATAAAAGACATTTTATTTAAAAGGAATTCTTAGGAAAACCCAAAGACCACAGAGGGTTAAAAAAAAAAAGTAAACTAGAGAAAACTAAAGCCTCTGGCATCTACAGCTACTGCAAATTATTAAACACAGCCCGTCTCCTAGACAGATTAACATAAAACTTCACACTGGCAGCCCAATTATCTTGGTTCCTATTATGCAACATATCATGCCTGGCTTTCAACAAAAATTTACAAGATATGCTAAAAGGCAAGAAAAAACACAGCCTGAAAAGATAAAGCAACCATAGGAACCAGATTCAGATATGATACAGATTTGAGACTTACCAGAAAGGAAGGCAATTGAAAGTAACTACGAATTAGTATGTTAAAGGACCTAATGGAAAAAGTAGACACCACGCAAGCAGAGAAATTGACACTCTAAGAAAGAATCAGAAAGGAATGTTAGGAAAAAACGCACTATAACGGATATGTGTAACACCCTTGGTGGGCACATGAGTTGACTGGACACAGCCTGGTGAGCTTGAGGGTATGTCAATAGAAATTTCCCACACTGGTATGTAGAGAGAAAAAAGAATGAAGCCAAGCAAGATAAATATCAAAGGATCTGTATCTAGGCATATCATATTTAAACTGCAGAAAACCAAAGGCAAAGAAAAAATCTTAAAAGGAGCAAGTAAGGGGAAAAAAATCCTTATCTATAAAGAAACAGACATCTTGTCAAAACCAGGCAAGCAAGAAGACAGTGGAGTAAAAAATTTAAGTATTGAAGGAAAAGACCACCAACCTGGAATTCAGCATCCAGTGAAATTACCCCTCAAAAATGAAGGAAAAGTAACGACTTTCTCAAACAAACAGAAACCAAGGAAATTTGTTGCCAATAGATGTGCCTTCCAAGAAATGTTAAAAGAAGTTCTTTGGAGAGGAAGCAAATGTTGTCAGAACCTCAGATCTACATAAAGAAGAGTGTCAGAGAAGAGATAAACTAAGGAAAATTAAAAATTAAATTGTAAAAAAATCTTAATTGACCTAATAGATAACTATTCAAAGTAACAATAGTATTGGGTGATTATAGCATACGGATAAGTGAAATGAATGGCAGCAATGTTATAGAGGATGGGAGGAAGGAATTGAGAAAACTTCGTTATAAGGTACCTGCACTACTTGTAACACAATATAGCGTTGTTTGAAAGTGAATTTAGAGGGGCGCCTGAGTGGCTCAGTCGGTTAAGTGTCTGCCTTCAGCTCAGGTCATGATCCCAGGGTCCTGGGATCGAGCCCCGCATCGGGCTCCCTGCACAGCGGAGAGCCTGCTTCTCCCTCTCCCTCTGCCTGCCACTCTGACTATCTGTGTGCTCTCTCTATCTCTCTGTCAAATAAATAAGTAAAATCTTTTAAAAAAAAGAAAGTGAATTTAGATTAAGTTGTAAATACATATTGCAAATTCTATGACAAGCATTAAACTTTTTAAAAAAAGAAGTATAATTGATATGCTAAAGGAGGAGAGAAAATTTAATCATATAAGATGCTCAGTGAAGACCAGAGAAAGCAGAAAAGAGAATGTTTTTTAAGAAAAAAAAAATAAGTGCAATGAATATGAAACAGTTAACCAATATGGTAGATAGTAGTCCTGACAGTATCAATTACATTGATAATCACTTCAAATGTGGATGCTCTAAATACATCAACTAAAATACAGAGACTCTCAGAGTGGATTAAAAAACAAGACCCAACTGCATTTTGTCTACAAGCAACCCATTTCAAATGTATACATGTACTTAAATGAATACTAATGGGATAAAGAAAGATATACCATGCTAACATTCATCAAAAGAAAGCTGTAGCCATATTAACTTCAGACAAGGCAGACTTCAGAACGAGGAATATTAGCAGGGATAAAAGAGGATATTATATAACGATAAAAGGGTCTGTTCTCCAAGACGACCTAACAATCCTTAATGTTATGCATCTAATTACTGAGTGTCAAAATACATACAAAATGCATCTAACAACCGAGTGTCAAAATATATAAGGCAAAAACTAATCAATCTGCAAGGAGAAATAGACAAATCCCCTATTATTTGGGTAATAATAATTATTGGATACTAATAATATTGGAAGTTGGAGACTTCAACACCTCTTCAGTAACTGACAGATGCATGAAGCAAAAATCAGTAAGTATATGGCTAAACCAAACAGCGCTATCAATCAACTGGATCTAACTGACATTCACAGAACACTTCACATGGAACATTCACCAAGACAGACCACATTCTGGACCATAAAACAAACTTCAACAAATTTAAAAGATTAGAAATCATATAGAGTATATACTTAGTCTACAACAGAAATAAACTAGAAATCAAAAATAGAAAGAGATCAGGGCAACTGGGTGGCTCAGTTGGTTAAGCATCTAACTCTTGATTTCGGCTTAGGTCATGATCTCAGAGTCATGAGATCGAGATCGAGCCCCTTGTCGGGCTCCACGCTGGGCATAGAGTCTGCTTAGGATTCTTTCTCTCCTTCTCCCTCTGCCCCTCCCCTCCTTAAAAAAATAGAAAGAGAGCTGGAAAATCCCAAAATATTTGGAGAATAAAAAGCACACTTCTAAATAACACATAGAATAAGAAGAAATCACAGGGGAATTTTAACACGTATTTTTAAATAAACAAAATAAAAACATAACTTATCAAAATTTGTGAGGTATGGGAAAAGAAGTGCTTAGAGGAAAATCTATAGCATTGAATGCAGATATTAGAAATGAAGAAAACTCTAAAATCAGTAACCTGAGACGGCAAAGAAACATGTAAAAAGATGTTCAACATAATATGTCCTTTAGGGAATTGCAAATTAAAATAACATTGATATACACCATTACACACCTACCAGACTAGCTAAGAACTAAGATCCAAAAATACTGACGACACCAAGTTCTGGCAAGAAAGCAAACAAGCAGGAACTCTCGTTGGTTGCTGGGGGTGGGGAAGTGTGCAAACGGGTATAGACTTTGGAAGAGTGTTTTAAAGTTTTTTATGAAACGAAGTGTTCTCTGACCATATGATCCAGCAATTGCATTCCTCAGTATTTACCCAAAGGAGCCGAAAACATCCCCAAGCAAAACTTGCTTATAACTGAAAGCAATTGAGGGGTCCTGGAATGGGTGAACGAATAAACGGTGGTATATCCAGATGATGGAATTCAGCACTAAAAAAAAAAGCGATCAACAACAAAAGGACACGGAGGAATCCTAAAATCATATTGCTAAGTGAAAGAAACCAGTCTTAAGAGGCTATATGCAGGCTTCGTCCACCTGTATAACATTCTGAAAAAGGGAAAATCGTAGGGACAGTAAACAGATTGATGGCTTCCAGGGTTCACATTGCTATATTGGTGGATACAAATCATTATGCATGTGTGCTCTCTCTCGAGCTCATTTATTTTGAGATAGAGAGCACACGTGCATGCAAGCGAGGAGGTGGGGGAGAGAGGCGAGAGGGAAAGCAGACTTCATGCCAAGTGGGGAGCCCGACTCGGCGCTCCATCTCACGACCCTGAGATCATGACCTGAGCCGAAATCAAGAGCCAGATGCTTCACCGACTGAGCCACCCAGGCATCTCTAGGTTACTTCATTCTAAAAATACAGTATATAATACATATGATATGCAAAATATGGGCTAATCAACTGTTTATGTTGATTACACATAACGGTAAGCTTCCCATCAACAGTAGGCTATTAGTAGTTAGGTATTTGGGGAGTCAAAAGTTATACGTGGATTTTCCACTGCCCGGGGGTTGGCGTCCCTGACCCCCCCCCCCCGTGGTGTTCAAGGATCAACTGTGTATGAGTTTGAGTCCCTGTGTGTGGGTGTGAATGTGTGTGGTGCTGTGAGTGTGCATCAGTGTGAACACGTGGAGTGTGTGGATGAGTGTAAGTCAATGCCAACATATGGGTGAATGAGTGTGCGTGGATGAGTATGAATGTGTGCAGGGGTGTGTGTGTGTGTGGATGAGTGAGTCCATGACTGTGAACGTGTTTGGGGAATGTGAGTGAGTGGTTGCAAGGATGGGCATGAATGTGTGTGCAAGCTTTTCCAGGCAGGATCAAACATTCCTCAGTGAAGGCAATGCCTACAGCTGCCTCAGTTGCTCTTCGTGGAATTCATGTGAAATGCAGAATCCCCATCTGACCTGTTAGAATTCGCAGCTTGTCTGGCCAAGCTCCCTGTCCTTGATGAGCCTCTCTGCCTGTCTGCCTGGGCTGCCCACGCCCCCCAGTTCTCATTACCCCCAACTGCTTGCGGTTCTTACTTGTCAGGGCCCGAGCCAGACCCCCAGGGCTAGGAAAGTGGGAGATGGGTCTGTATTTCCCACTCTCCCCACCCCCCAGCTCAGGGCCTGGCACATGGAGTCATCAGTACATAGATGCTGAATAATTGTAGTCTTTCTCGCCTCCAGGTATTTGCTCACCCTGTCCCCTCTGCCTGAATGCCTTTCCCTTTTCTCCCTCTCTCTCCCGCACTGACCTGTGGAGGGACCATCAGAGGCCACCTCCTCCAGGAAGCCATCCTTGACTCCCAGACTGTCTACAGTCTACTGACACATACTTGAGTTATAAGGTCAGAGAGCAAGGATCATGTTTATTTCGTATCTTCATATCTGTGTCCTCAGCACTTGTCATAGGGTTAGGCAGCAGGGCCAAGAAAGAGTGAGTGCATAAAGAATAATGAAAGAGAATGGAAGTACTGTGTCCCCTCCTCCAGGAAGCCAACCCTTACTTCCTGCTTCCCTGGCTCACCCCCCAACCACAGCAACCCCACTGGGCTGTCCTTTGCTCTGAGGAGCTTGTCTCTACTCTAAGACCAGGAGCTCTTTGAGGCTAAGATGGGGTCCAATTACTCTTTGGGTCCCCAGCACTACGAAGCCTGAGTCTGCACATCTCTTACTTCACCTCCTCCCATTCTCCCCTCCTCAAGGCTCTCCAGCCAAGCTAGCCTTCAGACAATTCCTCCAACATGCCACCCCAGGGCTTTGCACATGCTATTTTCGCTCCCTAAACTAGTCTTCCCCTATATTCTCTCAAATATCAGCTCAAATAACTCCTCATCAGGGAAACCTTTCAAGCACCTTATAGGTCCCTCTCTGTTTTACTTTTTTATTGGGACCTCTTGTTACCTGAAATACTTTATTCCTCGGTGTTCTTCCCCACCGTCTGGCTCCCCTGGGGCTTTTTTGGTGTCCAGTGGTTAGTGGTCTATGGCGCCTGGGTTCAAATCCTACACCTGCTGAGTAATTCTCAGCAAGTTGCTCCTCTGTGCCTCAGTTTCCCCATCTGTAAAAAAATGAGTGATAGTAATATAGCGTCTTATAAGGTTGTTGTGAGGATCAAATGAGTTACTACATGCAGAGCCTCAGAGCAGAGCCTGCCAGATTGTACTAGCTATTATTGATAGAAGGGTTGTTTCACTATCTAAATTCTCGCGGCACCTAGCATATGGTAGGCGGTCAGTCAACATTAGAAGGAAAAACACCCACGGGCACTTAGCAGAAGCCAGAAGCCAGGCTGTTGGGACGCGGAGAAGGAAGAGAGCGGCCCAACAGCCCCCCTCCGCCCCCCCCGCCCCGCCCCGCCCCGCCTCAGCCCCAGATGCACCTGCCCCTCGGCAAAGCGCGTCTGGGGGCCTGGGGCCGCCGGGGAGGCCCCCGCAGGAGCTGGGACTTTATTCCGCGAGCCAGGGGAAAGCACTG